ATAATGATATCATAATGATAATGATATTATACTTTCATAATGATATCATAATATCATTATGATAATGATATCATAATATCATAATGATATCGTAATGATATCGTAATATCATTATGATATCATATGATATTGTGATATCATTATGATATCATATGATATTGTGATCTCATTATGATATCGTTATGATAATGATATCATTATGATAATGATATCATCATGATATCATTATATCATATGATGATATCATTATGTTATCATTATGATGTTATCATTATATTATCATTATCATTGTGATGTTATCATTATCATTATGTTATCATTATGATGTTATCATTATCATTATGATATTATCATGATGTTATCATTATGTTATCATTATCGATAATGATGTTATCATTATCGATAATGATACTGATATTATTATTATGTTATTATTATCGATGTTATCAATATGATTATCGATGTTATTGAGGTTATCAATATCGTTATCGATAATGATGTTATCATTATTGATGTTATATTCATCAAACTTAAACATACTTGGGCATACTTCCATTCATCAAACTTGGGCATACTTGGGTGATTTGATGTTGCCATTATCGAACAGTGTTGTCATTCCATATATTATCCTTAAGACTGTTCCGTAAATGCGAAAAAAAATATATGCAATTGTCCTATATTTGAAAAGTCAAATCAAGGGCAAAACTAGACAAAAAAAATAAAAAAAACAATACCTCACCATAAAATTCATAAAAATATGGACCAAAGGGCAATTCCATAAATTTTACACAATCCCTACATATTTATTTCCTTTTCCTTGAAAACAATCAAATTAATGCCTAGCTTCTTCTCATGGTTTTTTCTATTATGCATATTGTTTACTTAAATAAATCAGAAAGGGGCTTAAACTATCTTACAAAATCATTAGAGGGTTAAAAAAATCCTATTTATCACTTTAGAGATTACTTTTTAAATTTGATTTCATAAAAATACTTCTTCAAAAAAATTAGAGACATTTTAGTAATTTTATCTCCTTAAATAACTCTAGTCATCACATACCTCTATGTCTAGGGTTAGGTACATGAATCTAAATGACAAACATATCTTCATTGCTAACCTTTACAATAAATGTTTTTGGTATTGTAATTGCCCCACGTTCCAATAAACTATGGCTATTTTTATAGTTTCAATAGCACCCCTCAAGTTGGCCAAATTATTAAAATGCCCTAATTATTCAAGATTCCCAACCTTAATTAGGAGTAATATCAAAATTTTTGGACAAGCATTTGGTGAGGTACTTCTTATATAAGATGTTTTTAGGAGAAAATATCTCCTCAAAACAATTAGTGAATATCTCCCATGTTCCTAGATTATGAGGGCAGTGGAATAAAGTAACACCATATAAAATATGGTTAACTAGGTCGTGAATTAGCACCATGAAAAAGCTTACTTGAGAGTTAGGAGAAACAATGGTTATTTGAGATATATAGTCCAGGGGCATTGCATTCAAATTTTGGTGGTCAGGAGAGGAACACCCATCTTTCATCTTCTTTCCTTTTTTCAACAAATGTAAGCTTGATTATCAGTTATCTATTATCTATGTTCTTGACGTAAGTTTTTACTTTTATTCCTTTTATGCTTCTCTTCTAATTTGTGTAATTTTTCAGATAGATATAAAATAACACCTCTCATTTTAGCACCGCGTTATGGTTTTCATTCCCACCATTTACACTACCTTATTAATACTTTCAAAAAGCTAACTCTTAATCTATTTAAAAAATAGGTTTGGGCTTGTCTTCGTTATTGAATACCAAAAAAAAAACCCACAATCTTACGATCTTCATGCAATCCTATGTCTAAGGACCTCTATTTTCGCTCTGTAAAAGAGACTTCAAATCCCTCATTTTCTTAGTGTATGAAAGCGTGACTTGGATTGAGCCGAGCCTGTGTAACTCGGTCCGATTTAGGTCGAGTTCTGTATTGTACAAATAAGGGGGTAAAAAGTTTATAAGAAAATTGTATAAAATGTTAATAAAATAAAATGTTAAAATTTTGTATGCATTGTTTTTATACATTGTCATGTAAAATAAGTGAGAAAAATCTCTGTGAAGCCCAGTGGAATCGGTAGGGCAGCAGTAGTACCTCTTTGCCAAGTAGAAATACTACCCTGTAAAATTCATAAGCCATAGTCACTTAGACTTTGAAACTGTCCATGCTTCTCACCTCCTTGGCATGTGTTTTGCTCCTTATCGGTATTGTCATCGTCCTGAACAACTAGCCTACGGTGCCGGCCACCTATGCGTCTCTGTCCAGGGGTGTAACTGCTATGTCTGGCTCTCTTGACTTCTTCCCAAACCAATTTAAGCCCCTCTTCTTCCCCAATGGAGCTCCTAGTACCTTGCCGCACCTTTGCTCTAACAAAGAGAGAGAAAATTGGGGCAGCGTGCCAAACCCACATAGAGAGAGAGCCAATCTCAAGTTGAGAGAGAGAAAGAAAGATGGCCTGCATTTTCCAACATAGAGCTTGGGGTCTTATAGAGACCCCTAGCGCACAAAATTCTTCATCCGAAGTTCCTTTCCCAGCCTTGGTAAGAGAAAAAGTTCCAATGGAGATGAAACTGCCTGAAAAAATGTTGCGGAGGCATGCAAAGTCCATTATTGGATATGTAAAATACTTTTTAACAGGCTTTTAAAAAACATGGCAAAAATCACCCTTTTTTTAAATAAATTGTCGATTATTTCACAAACCGAGTGATTAGTGCTGATTAGTATATAAATTGGCCGAGTTGTGCAGTAACGCGGCCAAGTAGTGCATCACAGGGGTACCTTCCAAAAGGACGCCTCTGGACTACTGGGGCTCGGAGAATTATGTATACTCCTTTGGACCCTACTGTATTAATCACAATTATAGGAGAATTATGTATACTCCTTTGGACCATACTTTCTAGGCCTAGCCCCCAAATATTTCATAGACTAACCAGATCTATTACCATTATTATTTGTATTTGGATACATTTTTTTCTATAAAATTTCTTCAAATAGAATTTAGAATAATAGAATATTTTTACTATTTTACAATATTTAATAGATATAAATATTTAATTACATATGTCATCGTATTGTATTTAATTTTTATTTTTAGTTTTAAAATTAGGGTAGAAAACTATATATAT